GGCTTGTTTTACAACGTCGTTGCCAAGCGACGAAAACCCAACCCCGATGGCAAAACACCGGGGGGGAGGAGGGCGGGGGGGGGTATATACAGAGCTTGGCCTGCTGCCTCTCCGGGTTGGCTCAACCTACGGTACACACTACCGCATCTACTTCTGCAGAGTACGCTGTTTTGCGGATCGCTACAGCCCTAACACACCCACCCGTCGCAAAATGTTGATACACACTTCACAAAGGCTCATGCCTCCTCTGTACTTGTAATTTTCAATAACGGGGGGGTGTAGTCTACCCCCCAAATTGGACTAAATCAAATTGCGACATGCGACATGCGACGTGCGNGGGGGGGGGGGGGGGGGGGGGGGGGGGGGGGGGGGGGGGGGGGGGGGGGGGGGATGGCGCATACATCACATTGCACACGCTCGACACCTCTTCAACGGTAGTCCAACTAACGCTGGGGGGCTCTTTGTCCGAGCACAGAGCAAGGTTCCGAGTCGGTAACAACAGGCGCGATGAAAAACATCTGAGCATGATGCCTTCTTTGAAAATAAGTCTGTGGTATTATCTCAAACGAGTGGTCTGTTTGTGAGGTTATGTATGCTTTCTAAAAAACAACACGACATCACGGCACCCCGTTTGTGCCCGCTGGAGCCGTAGGTCTCATCCACAATATTTTGTGGCCTGAACCGTAAAATGGACGAACGAATGAACGTGCTCGAAATGTGGGCACAACGCTCCTTCTGCTACGATATGCTCGAGCATCGAGCATATGCTCTTTCCGGAATACGCTTTTGCTTATACTCATATAGGCCAAGCTGGAGAGCGCCGAGTAGGGAGTTCGCAGAGCGAAAAGAGGCGTGTGCAGCATAAACATTTTTTTTTTTTCTCGCGCGGCAGCCTGTCTGTTTGCGGCACATGTACAACGACCAGGACAGCACCACAGAAGCGCGCCGTACAACAGTGGCGACCGCGAGGATTTCATCTGTGCATGATTGGCGTCCTCCGGCCACAGTCAACCCCAAGCGGTAGCAACAATCCCAGCAGAGAAATCCGAAGTCTTGTCCATGGTAGTAGACGAGAGACCAAGAGCACCAATGCCCCGGCGCAAAGATATCTTGCTCCGGAAGGATGTGATGACGCCCGGCACTTGGTGACCTATGCGCTAGTAGAAGATCTGGCCGGCAACAATGCGTCTGTCACTGCGTCGACGTCGCCTGGACTCATTGGAGGTGAAACCCCGCATCACTCCAGCGACCGGGAGTGAAGCAGTTGACCTCGACAGCGCGGTCGTTTGGGATCATACAAAATGCGAATCTTTGAAATCTTTCATCGGGCATGAAAGATCGTTTGCCGCAAGATTCTGTCTTCTCTGCCTGTCCCACAGGCAATGCTGACGCTTTGGTATGTATGCTTCGCGCCATTCTTTGCAGGACACAGCAGTGATGTCTACTCCACCAGGAATGACAAGCCAGCGCCACCTCAGCTGCGGCCAGGCCTGCTCGCAGTTGCTGTTGTTCAATCAACGAATGATGGCAATCAGGTCAAGGCCCTCGACAACTGTGCGGAGGTTGGAACCATTTGCGTGGCTGTGGCGTACCAAGGGCTGAACAGGGCTTCGCACACAAACGTGGGTACAGCGGGACCTGGAGAGTCTGTGCTGAACACCAACCTTTCAGTCTTTGGTGCGACCGGGCTATCACCTCTCTCAGCGAGCGCCGGCGCACTGCGGAAGATCATACGTCGATGTGCACAACTATTTGCACCGCGTGCTGGTGGTAGGGAAGCACATGGCAGCGAGGAAGCATGTTTGGTGCTCTACTGCAAGCTTCCCGGCGGAGTGATTATGGTGTCTCCTCTGGACGGGCCGGCCTTTTGTCTCCGAAAGGATGTCGGTGCGGTCGAGGGAACGAGGTCGGTGGCGCGGAAGGCGACTGACGGCGCACAGCAGGTGCGACAGAACATGCAGTTGGCCTAGAGTCGCTGGTTCAATTAATGTGTCTCTACGAAACACGCTGTGGTATAAATACGTGACCTCAACGCTCTCCAGCTGCAAAAGTACCATAATGATATGTTCGAACATGATGGGTTTTCCAATTGTTGTGTTAGAGACGATGATAACCTCAAACGAAAACTTACGTACAGAGCACGGTATCCCGCAGGTACGACTGTACAGAGTATGTACATTAGGCCTACAGTAACGGCGTCTATTACACCGTCCGTGTTGCCTGACCTCCTTGACACCCTGAAAGCTGGTACAAAGGAGTGATTCCCTGGTTGTTGGCAAACTGTAGTCTACTCGACAGAGATCTCCCCCCGCAAAGCGTGGCAAGTCCAGACTGCTCAATGCGAAACCCAATGGTGCGCACAGACCTTCTCACACCTCCAGAGCGTGGAATAGAGTTGGCCTTACATAGCAGGCGACAAATATATCAAGAAACTGTCTATTGCTTGTGACACAATTCCTCAGTTTAGTATGAACAGAGTTTTTTCTCGCTGTATATATGTTCCGATGGGAGGGGGGTCTGTTCCATACCCTGCTCTTTGTCGTTCTAGACCTGTTGCCCTACATTGACACGTTTGCTCATGAGGGGTTGAATACTCCCTGTTTTTTTTTGGGGGGGGCGTTCCCTGGGTTCGCTTGTGAGACATAAGCTTTTTCTTTTTCCTTTAAAGGACAAAAAATAGAAGAAACTGGAACAAGTGGCCTGAATTTTTTTTTCTCAGAAACCATGACAAACAACAGATGTGGTGCAAAAGATTCCTTGATACACCGCCCGGGAGGAGGGTGTCACTTTCGTCTCGCCTCCACTGAACGTTTTTGGTATCTCCCCCATCCCCCGGTGTTTGCCATCGGGATTGTGTTTTCGTCGCCTGACAACGACGTTGTTAAACAAGCCAATTCACTTCGTAAACTCGGCAACCAGGTTACCGTTTGTTTTTAATAAATTCTGTTTTTTTTTGGCGGTAACCATAATGGTGGTCGAGTAGATCATGTTGTGCGGGGTCGAGAACCCTCACTCCGCGCAAGGGGGATGATCGCACCACGTTGTGTTAAAATGGTCAAGCACCCTCGAGGCAGTTACACAGTGCTTACAACTGTCTCTGGAAGTGAAAGCACCAGAAAATAAATTAATTCATACGCAGCTGTCATCCGTACGCAAGGAAGTAAGCACAAGATGCCGAACACCCTTAGCAGGATGCAGCGCACCCTTCATGCGACTCGCCGAATATCTCACGGCGCTTCGCGCTTGGTGATGTGAGAGCCTGGTCCGGTGAGAACCCGGCGTGCTCCGTCCCGGCTTTGTAGGGATGCGAGGTCAATGGTCTAACGACTACGGCATGCACGACTATGAGTACACCACCATCCCCCTCCCCCCCCATTCCCCAACGCAACCTCTGATGCAGAAGTCCTGGACACTGCCGGCGGAGGGGTTCGAGGCGCTCTGCGACTTGGAAGACTCCGTGGCACCGGGGCTTCCAGCCCTAGCCAGAGAGATGGCGCGAGACAGCAACTGCGTGGCAAACGAGAGTGGCGGGGCCACAAGGCCCTTAGCCGAGGAGATTTCCCTCCGAATCAGCGGCGACAACGAGGACCGGCAGAGCTACGTGGTGATCCCACGAGTGGCAGGCATAGTCTTTGCCCGGCTAGGCCCCGCAGAACCCCGTGCTGCCACCGGGGGTCGCGCTAGCGATGTCGGAAGCAGTGGCCACGCTTGCGTTCGAGCGTCGGCAGTGATGGCTCGACTTGAGCGAGAAGGCGGCGGCACCGGCGCGATGGCTGTGCGGCACCGGTTTGTCCTCGAGGAGATGGATGTGTTTCGCGGGGACGATGATTTCCGGGACTGCAGTGAAGCTGTTAATACCGAGAGAGCAAGTGCAAAGAAAATCACAAGACGCTATCTATCTCTGCCGGTGGCTTACGCCGATCTGCTGGAGGAGGCCACTTCGCCGTCGCCCAGCCCAGAGGGTGAGGTTTGCGGTTGCAGTGCCCCCAGAGTTTCGCATATGAGTCTGCATCCAGTTCTTGCTTTTCTTGGCTGATGTGGCTCAGTCCTCAGATAGATCTGGATGGAGATAGTTATGGTGCCGGTGTTGGCTCCCCTCGAATCAATGTACGACGGCTTTCTTCTGGCGGAGAGACGCCAAAGGCGCGCTTTAGGGCTTATAGGAAACAGTCCACGTAGGAAGTACAGATATCCATGCCACGAAAAAATGGAGCTTTTACTCCAAAGGCGAATGAAAACCATACCTTCCTGTTCTCACCTAATGTTGGCAACACTTGAACAAAGCATCACAACGTTTCCCTGCGGAATTATGGTCGACTTTCTCCTGTTCCGGTTTGAACGGCCCAGGGAAATTTGTTTCTTCTAGAATCTGGAGCCGATGGCGCCGGGGGAGTAAGTACCGGGCAGGCGTGAATCAAGTCGTCCCTGACTTTGGAGAAGACACAGGATTCGAAGGCGAGCGGGGTAAACGCCTGCTCGGCCCCGAGCAGCCTGTACGGGAAGACAGACGCGCCGCAGGCTCAAGGAAACCCAGCCAACACGATCCGCCATCTACCACGGCGCCACACGCCGGGGGGATCAGCAGTCGCTGTCAGCCCGAGAAACCACAAGAGCATGCTCTCACCGTACGTGGGGTGCAAGCGGCGTCGTTGGACCAGGCAATACGGTGGGCTTCGACGCGAGACGTCGTCTGGGCGGTGTTAGCCGCGGCTTGCCGACCGGAGGACGGCGGTTGCCGCACGGCGGCTGAGACCCGAGGAGACGCGGCACAGACGACAGCGGTCTGTGCCGCAGGTGCCGCTTGTGCCCTGCTGGCCAGGTTGTTCGGGAACGGTACACCAGACCGAGGGACAGCCAGAATCAGTGTCAAGGAGGCGCCGATTGTTCTCGGTCTGTGGTGGGAAGGTTTCTGCGCGACAGCGGTGCCATTTTGTGGCGACGACGGCGGGGGGCAGGGTACCTTGCCCCTCCTGCGAGAGGCTCCCAGATTGCTCCTCGAAGGGATGCTGGAAATCCCCGCGGTAGAGGCGGCCTTTCTCGAGCGAGGCTTGGCACGACATCTGGCGGACGTGTTGCGCGTCGCCTTGGTACGGATGAAATCCGCTTGGGAAGAGGAGGAGTTGAGCGATCATCAGAGCACGGGCTATCCGTGCACCGGGAACGCGTCTCCGTGCGGAATGACCAAGCTCCCGGACGGTGATGCCAGTGCTTCCCGCCCTTCCCACGGCACCATCGGGGCGATTATCCGACCAACAACAGCACAAGGTGGTGCATCCCTCTCCCCTGAAGCGGACCCTCGTGATCAGCGACTTCCGTGGTGGCTAATCTTCAACCAAAGGAGGGGGAAAGTATGTGATAGATCTTCTGATCATGCCTTCGAGGACGCGCTCAAAACCGGTGGTGGTAGCGCCGACGGGGATAGCACCGGGATGAGCTGCAGGACGGTGTCGCGCGACAGCAAGGGAGAAAGAATGAGCCGTGGACCTGACACCAGCCGAAAAGACGACCCCAACGACGGCCTTCATGTCGCTGCCGGCAACGACAACCTCGGCTCGGAATCCGTGCCGACTCCCTCCGTATCAGCGCACCGGGAGAGGGAGGGGATAGTGCAGCTGAGGACAGGACACGGCGCTGATGTTGCCTACCGGGAGCGAATTTCCCCGCCGATGCTACGGCTCGACGCCCTGGACTCGATTCTCGCCACCAAAGAGTGGGGGTCTCCACGGGGTAGTTCGCAGCGTGCGGCGGTAACCTTGTCCACGGCTTCGACTCGGGCGGCGCCGGAACATCTGGTGCGTTTTATTCCCTGCTCGGTCACCCCATTACCCACCTTGTGTAAATGTTTTCGATTAACTGTACCAGTGAGACCATCACTACGCGCACAGGACGAATGGCCTGGTCAGCCAGAGTATCAGAACGCCGTCCAGAACCCAAATACAATTCGGCATTTTGGTGGGCTCTTGGTATTGGTTTGTGATCTAGGTCGTGATTGCATCAACACTTCCTGCGGCAATAGTCTGTTTGACTTGCGATGCGGCCGTGGCGATCCGCGAACGATGATCCGATGTGCCACCCAGACAACGAGGTGATTCTTCAACGAGCTGCCTCCACGGTTTCGCACCGCAGGGATAAGGCGGGAGTCTTGTACCTGTAGGACCCCACCTCGCCGGTCATCTGTGTCGTTGATTCTCTATTCTCGACAAGAACCACCCATCTCTCACCGTTCCGTGCTCCGTTCCCTCTCTCTCACGCACGCAGCCTACGTTCTTGAGCGCACGGGGGCCAACAAGCCGGGCCTCCGCTCGCCATGGCAGCGGGCGCTCCTTGCGCACTGGTCGAACAACCCAGAGAGACTGGACAGCCTCGACAGGGTGTTCGACCGTTCGAAGTTTTGCACCTACCGTCGCGACTGATGTGGATGCGGCGGCGTCTCGCCCGCTGCCTCTGCCGGTGCCCCAGCCTTTGCTGTTGAATGACGGGAACCCTGTTCGCGGTGGCGACGATCGTGGCGGAGAAGAGGTGCGTTGTGGAGGAAGTGATGGTGGCGGTGATGGTGAACGTCGTGGCTCTAGTGGAGGTGAAAGGTGTTTGGGAGGTGGTGTGGTGGTAGGGTCGAGGGCGCCTAGCGGTGGTGGCAGTATTCCATCGGCGGTGGAGCAAGCATCGGGTAAAACTGGCCGATCCGGCATCGTTGAGGATGATGATGGCAATCTCCTTCACAATGCTGACACGGACGACACGGTCGTGCCGGCGACGCATGGTGGAAGATACACCAGTGTCAGGAAAGAAACGCCTGGCTTATCTCTCGAGGAACTCCCGGCGACGAGAACGGCGGCAGAAGTTACAAGTGCGCCCGTCGATCGAGATAGCCCATGTATTTCCGGCGAGGCTTTCGCCCGGGTTTCCCCCCGCGCGTCACCGGCCTCGCCCAAAGAGTCTCCCGCTGGGTACGCCGAGCACAGCTTAAAGTCGGGAGGTGGAAATCTGGCGTTATCGCCTCCTGTGGTTGACGCCGGTCGCGGATACTCTACAAGGCACAGCCCTCATCAAGCACCAAAAAATGGCACCCTTGACCAGGTCGACGGCGCCCCGGCCTGTAGACCGGGATCCACTCCATCTGCTAACGGCACCGCCGGCGACACTTTCGAGGGGCCTTTCGACGGCATCCTTTCGCAGAACCACCCACTGGCTGTTGAGAACTCGGGTAGTATGGACCATGGGAGCCTGCGCGCGCTGCCGACTTATCGCTCCTCGGCGGCCTTGGTTATCGATTTGGCTCGCGATTCGGCACCGGTAGTTGCACCGCTTTCTTCGCCGTCACCGACGCGGCAGAAGCGCCAGGCCACTACACATGTGTTCGGGGCGGCGGTTGCGATCGCGAAGATGTTGCTGTCCCTTCTCCCGTCGACATCGGCCGAGCATGATCCCGGAGGCAGCCTTGTTGCCGCTCTGGAAGTTCTCTCGTTTGTAGGGGCGTTGTCGTGGACCGACGGCAACTCTTGGGCAACGGCACCTGTGCCTACCACCTGTGGCAGCAAGCCGGCGGTGGTGGGCCACGCCAGGAGGGTCGACGCCGGTCCTCACGATACCCGGCGTGAGCCCTCAGTTTGGCCGCTTGAGCTAGACAACGTCGAGATCGCGCTGCTGGCACGAGCGGGAGAGGTCCACCTGGACCGCCGGTTATCGGTGCTACGGCTACAGTGTCAACGAACTGGCCACGACGAGTGTGGCGAGGAGATGGCATCCCAGTCACACCGAAGCCATGTGCACAAGGCGTGCAGGCTGGGCTTGGAGTGCCGGTGGATGACCCGTTTGCTCCTCCGGAGGGTACTCGCCGCTGGTGCCTTCAACAGCGAGTGGCGGTCCGTGCTTTCCGCGGAACAAACTGTCGATGCCTTACGGTTTTGCGGCCGCGCCTTCGAGATGATACAGCGTGGCCTCCGCTGTACATGTTCTTCGGGTGCGAGCTACGATAGCGGGCGGTCCGACGACAAACACGAGGCTCAGGAAGATTCTCCAGAGGTGGCACAAAGATGCAGTGGGCACGCGGAAGAGTCGCTGCTGCTAACCGAGCCGGCCGCTGTTGACCTGGCCAGGTTGGTTGTTGTCCTTGTGAGGCAACCGGTAGCTTGGGGCGAGAACCCGGACTGGGCGGCACTCACGCTCGGCTCGGCTGCTTCTCGTCGTGATGGTGAAGTCGCGATCGTCCCGGTGCTAGTGGAGCTTCTTAACCAGTTGATATCGGTGACACCTACCGAAGACGGAGATGCCTCACAGGGGGTGGGGGCCGAAGTAGGACAACACTGGCGACATGCACATGGTGGTCGCACCCTGCTTGAAGGGGCTCAAGCCCTGGAAAGAAGACTGACTGGGGGTGGAAATGTTTTGGACGAGCTACTGTTTTCTCTGCTCGGCAGTTCTGCAGCTATTGTGCGCAGAGCTGGAACTTTGCTCGAGACCCTGAAAGAAACCTCAGATTCGGCGGTACCGGAAAGGGTGGACAAGAACGAAAAAGAAATAACAAAAGCTGCCTCTCTAGTTGCAAGGGAAATGGCCCCCATGTTTCGACCTGACGGGCTAATCCTGAAGGTGATGACCACACCTCTTCAGAGCGGGTCCAGTATCGAAGGGGCGACGGACACGTCACCAGCCGTTACAACCAAACGGCCTGATGTAGGCAGCCCGATCCGTACCCCGTGTTTGGCGGCGGCGGCGGCTGTGCGGCTGAGCGCCGCATACTTCTCCCTTTACGGGAAAACCCGCATTCGCGAGGAACAAGATCTGGTGCGCCTCGAAGCTTTTGTGGACCCGCTCTTTTCACGTTTCCGCAAAGAATGTGAGGCCTTGCTTGGACAATATCAGCCTGAAGGTAGCCACGAGGCCCCGCCGAGCGAGCGAGGGCGTCAAGCTGGGTGCGCGGCGCGGGATGAGCCGAAGACAGAGCAGGAGGGCACCGCCGCGAGGCGGCGGGGCCGTGTTATTCTTTGTCGCCTACATCTCGAAGCGCTGGTCGAGCTCGTAGCAGTGCAGGACCCCGCGGTTCGGAAGCGGCTCGACGACTGCCGCGTGTCACCGTTCTTGGTAGAACGCGTCCTTGGAGTGGGTGGCGACGCGGCAGGCACCACAAAGGAATCTCCTAGACCCGTCCACGGGTCAGTGGAGAATTTATCGTGCTGTGACGCAACAGTGACGTCGCGAAGTTCCCTGTCATGCAGCCCGTCCGCCGAGCATGTGTCTTCCGTAACCGGGTCAGGCATCACCTCTCCGACCCATCAAGTCGCGAAAAAAGACACCGCGGAAACTTGTGGCGCCAGCTCCAGCAGCGGCGGTCGTTTCCATGACCTCAAGTGGGCTCGTGCTCGGCCCAACAGCACCGTCGCGGAGAATGCTACGACTTCCTTGTCGGTGGGGGATAGGGTCGACGGCCTCGTGTCCGTGAAACGCGGGAGGCCGAGGTGGTTTCCGGGACGGGTCGCGGGCATAAACGGGGATGATGGCACCGTGCACGTCTGCTTCGACGATGGCGACGAAGAGACAAGAAAGAATACTGCAGAATTGCGCCTTAGCCGGAAAAGGGACACCGAGAGGGTCAAGGTTCGATCGCGTTCGACACTCCCAAGGCCCGCGGGAGGGGGGACTGCCGCTAGTGCCACGCAGAAAGGTGGACACCGAATACCTCCGCCTGCCACCCAAACCAAGCGGTCTGACGCCGTAGCGGGAAAAGAGTGTTCGTCACACGGTAATCGAAACGCACACGTTGAAAGTGAAACCCGCAGAAGTGCAAGGGCGGGCGGGGATGCCACCGTGGTCACCATGTCTGAGGGGGGTGCCGACGTTCCTGCGACAGCGATCGCTGCTGAAGACGGCGGCATTGGTGCTGCCGAGGTCGACAGCGAAGACGACGACGCGTACTTCGTGATACCAAGCGTGTTGGACGACGCGAGTGCGGTCAATAACAACGGACGCCCGTCCGTCGCTGCCGATTCCGCCTCTTCGATGTCCGTGGTGCCCAGGATAGACCTTCAGTCTCCAGTGTTTCGGACGAGGGTTTCTTCGTCACAGCTCGGTCCCGGCTCGTCGCTATCAACCCCTACAACGGGGGGGGCGCGCATTCTAGACACGGTTTGGGGCGCGGCAGGTTCACGCTCCGACGCGTCGCTGTCCACAGCGGTGTTCCCGAGCGGGCGGAGTTCGCGAGTTCTACGCCCGCCCTTGTTCACCGACCGGTCTTCCGCTATCGGCGGCGGCGGCTCGTCGTCGCGAGGTTTCAGCATGGTACGCAGAGCTTCCGTGCTAACCGACATCCACCCCCCGATGGCGGACACCACTGTCAGAGTCACGGAACGTGAGATCACGGGGCTGCTCAGAAGCGACGGAGAATCGTCGTCAGATGAAGAAGAAGGGGGATGGGAGGAGGAAGAGGAGCAGGAAAAAGGAATTCCATTGCCGGAGGCGGGAAAATCGGGCTCGCCACGACAGCTTCCCCAATGCAGTAGACCTAAAGTCGAAACGGGCAATGAGCGCGACGCGGGGGCAGGGGGCCACCCACGAGGGGCGAAGAGAGTGTCGGAAGAGAAAGCAGTGCGGCTGCGAGACGACGACGAAAACAATGAGGTCTTCCCGCGAGTCAACTACGATAGTGATTTGAGCGTCATGCAACGCTATGCCGTCGAACTTCTTCTGTGCATGGCCACGGGGCCGAGCGGTCACGGCAATTTGCCAGCGTGGGAGCACATCTTTCTGCCAACGTCGGTCGGGGGATCGGTGGAGATTGCTTCGCTGAGAGCATTCTTCGACAGCGTTCGAAACGCCCACATCGTTCCGAGCTTGAGGTCGCAGTGGCACCCAGAGGTGGCGGTGTTAGGGAAGCTTGTCTGCATTGCGCTGTTCGACGCCCAGAGCTACTCTCTCGACGGGGATCACATCGGGGCAGGGAGGTTTGGCGCGGTCATCGTATCTGAGTGTCCTCTTCCGCTTGGTGGATGTCGGCATCATTTGGCGTCAGCACAAGCGCCCTCCACACCTTCCTCTGCCGGAAAGGAAGATGGACTGGAATCACCAACAAGGCTGACGGAGTCCTCGTTGAGCGTCCCGCCGCGACGGTCGACGAGCGGCCGCGAACAGGGCGAGGTTGCTTTGAAGGTGATAGGAAGGGACGACTTGGACGACGCTGTGGGCCAGAACGTTTTCTTGGAGGCCCTTGCGCTTCGCGCTCTCGCCGACGTCCCCGGCGTGTGCCGCCTCTACGACTTCGGCGTTACACCCACGTCATATGTCTTGGTCCTAGAAAGGTGCGCTTGCAGCCTGAACGACTGGCGGTCCGGGCGCAGCGACAACGACGAAGACGATCTAAGCATGTCTATGAGTGCTCCTCGTTCCGACGCAGAGGTAGTCCTGTACCTCGCCGTTTTCCGACAAATCGTCACCGCCGTGGGTGCGATGGCGGCGAGGGGTGTCATCCATTTTGACCTTAAGTGCGACAATGTCCTCGTTCGCGGCGGGAGCAGCAAGGTTGAGTACCACGAGTGCCTTGCCTCTTCGCCAACAGCGGCAGGAATCAGAACCGTCTTGGCGATGGAACATGAAGTAGTGCCGTCCGTCTGCGTGACCGACTTCGGGGAGGCGATCGTCGGGCGGCGGCGGAGGTGCCCGCCAAAGGCAACCGACGCCCTCCCTGCGACTGCAAGGCCAGACCCGGACTCGGCCACAAATGATGATGAATTCTACTTTGACGTGCGTGGTTCACGTGGGACCGAGCGTATCCAGAGTCCGGAGATGGTTCTCCTGTCGAGAAGCGGTGGCGGCACTGGTGGTAGTGGACCTTCAAGCGAGGACCCCGCTGTGGGTGCCGAGCGAGGAGAGTCGGCTAGGGGGATCACCACCGCATCGGACGTTTGGTCGCTTGGGTGCCTACTGTACGAGCTGCTCTGCAAGCAGCCCCTGTTCAGAGACCTGCAGTGGTCTGAGTTTTTCGTGACCCTGACGGCGGGCGAAGTGGTTGGCGGATCTGGCAACGGGACGGTTCCTGTGGCTGAGGGTGCTTCGGTACCCCCGTTGCCACCACCGCTGAGCCTGCGCCCGTTCGCCGCTCTCGGCTGCGCCAAGGCGGTGAAGACTCTCCTAGAGGCGATGTTGGTGCGAAACCCCGCCAAGCGACCGAGTGCTCTCCGAGTGGTGAGCGCTGTTGACGAAGCGATGACGGCCGTCGTGTCCAGCCTCCCCGTCGGGAGCGAGAAACATCCACCGACGACCATAATCCGACCAAGAACCGAGAATCAGTCGGACACTTCTGTGGGTTCGCCCGATGCCAACACACACAGCATGCCGCGTGGACAAGGAGACTCACCCGGCTGGGAAAACTCGCAGGTCGAACATCAGAGGGAGGTCGTAGCACACAGCGGAAGGGGGTTCGGAGGACAGGCGACGACAGAAGCGGCGGGAGGACGGGCACCGTTCCACCCGTCCACGACCGTCGGTGCGCTCCGGAGCTTCGCCGCAAAACAGCAGCCCTGCGTTCTAGGGTGTGACGGATGCTTGCACCGGTTGGGGACCGGCGCGTTCCTCCTGGCCCTTAACGGTCCAACCGACGGCGGCGGCGGCGGCGACTGCATCAGAGGTAAGGGCGAGGATCTAGCAGCTTGTCCGGCGCGGCAGCAGCTAGGCTCGCAAATCACTGTGTGCTGCAACACCGCAGTTTGGCGAGATTTTTGCGTGGGAACGGCAGCGGGGGGGACGTCGGCCTTAACGGCAGACGAGATGGCTCCCCTGGGGATCGTTCTTCCGTCCCTCGGCATCAGCCACGTCGTGTGCGTCAACACCACCTACGGCAACCCGGCCACGTCTACGCAGAAGCTGTCAGACTCCCGAACGCCGGGAAAAAAATCTCGAGTTCTGAGTGTCTCCGTCCGCACGGAGAAGGCCCAAAGTCAGGAGGAAAACGGCGGGGCTTCGCCCTCCTCGAGTGCGGCGAGATTGGTTCGGGACGTGGCGGAGTTTGCAACCGGGCCGAGGGTGCTTTTTGCCGGCGTAGGCGGCGGGTGCGGCGGCGAGGCAGGTGCCGTCGCAATGGCGTGGGCGATGCAGCGCACCGGAAAGGGGGCCTACGAGACCATGCTAGACTTTAGGCAGGCATGTGCGGAGTTTTGGGTCGATACGGCCACGCTCAAGTCTGTAGTAGGATAGAGTAGAAACATGTGATACATAGGGTAGGATGTTTTTCGATAGGATAGTGGACAGAATAGGCTACGATACATTCCGCGAGGTAACGTTGCCTGCTGCAGACGACGGTAGGTGGGAGTTCGCTGCGAAACGGAGGGCAGGTTGATTGCGAACTCGAGGGTATGGCATTCTCGAGGTCAGCCTGCTTACGTTAGAGGGGGTTTGGACCGTGTAAATATTTGCATTCAGGTCTTTCGTTGTCTACAGAGTTGCTTCATCAGATGTTGGTGGGAGGCAACTTGCTATACTGTGTTTCTTGTTTCCCCTGTGTAGTGTTTTGTTACAAGCGTTAGCATGTGGTTGACGTTGGCCATGTGTGCTTGTGTCCCGACCGAGTTGAGACATACCACAACGGATATTGTTCTTAATACCCAGAATGATACTATGGTGCTCTCTGGATAATCATCATGTTTTTAGCCTCGGAGCAGAAAAGCAAAACTCAGAAGAAAGAGAACGTTTTTCGACGCCGAGAAAATGTCATGACAACCCTTCCCTCGACAAGTGCGGTTTGCACTGAACCTTCCCCCTCTCCCCCTACTGTCCAAGTGGTATATCGACGTCTGCCTCCACCCAATCATCGAACGTCAACATTCGAAACACATTTTATACGAGAAGAGTAATCTACTGCACACCCTTGGACGTTCACGTTGCCGCTGGTACTACCAAGGGCGCGTCCTCCCCGAAACGGTATCACTCCTGACGGGAGCCCCAGCCCCTCGCACTGGCACGTGGAAGTTCCGCCTGTTTTTCCCCGTCAAGATGTCGACGTACATCCCCCCGGGCACGTCCCCCCACCCGTCCGTCGGATGCAGCATCTCCTTCTCCGCGTTGTTCAGCGTCCGCCGCGGCCCCGTGCGCATGGCGACCTTCCCCCTAGCGCCCTCGTCCTCCCGCCCGTTGATCAGATCGAACCGCACCCCGAGCACCCCCTCTCCGCCGCCGCCCCCGCGTCGAACGCTGTCCCTCGCGGACGTGTCGAGGCGGTAGGACCCGTCCCGGAGCGTCGATCCCCCCACAGCGGGCTGGTCCACGCGGGGCTGGTCGCGAGGGTGCTTCATTTGTAGCTCCGCCGTGGCGGTCTTGAGCTCCGTCGTCGGGTGCTGGCCGAGCGAGTAGTTGGTGCGGTTTGCGTTGAGGCGGTCGAAGCCCTCCTTCGGCCGCCGGATGGCGTAGCCCGGGGTGTGCACGGACTTGTTGAGCTCCATCCTCGTGACGGTGGAGAAGCGCGGGTCCGACGGTGGTGGACTTTTTGCGTGCGTACGGCAAGATAGGACGCCGTTGGTGAAAGGATGCACGGATTCTGATAATCATTCGTGTGAGGAGGATTCAGCAAAGGAACGGTTTAATTATCTATGAAAGGACGCGTGTTACAAAAGACAAATCAATGATATAAACCGTATCGGACCGGCGTGACACAAAGGTAGCAAAGTATAGGAGGCAATCTACGTATGCGTGGGTACGGGTAAGGTCGCACAAACCACTAGCAGCTTGATGCCCTTGTGTGGCCGATTGTGCTTCATCACTTGGACATTTCTGGCATTGAGGATACGGGGGGTGATACAGCATCGCCCGGTGAGTCACTCCGCTCGCGTCGGCGAGAGGGTGTAATCGGCGCCCTCAAACTCCCCTTTTATGACGCATTCATTCGCTCCTACTGGTGTGTTGGGATCATGTTTCCGAGCTGCCGCAATAGTATCTCAACCAATACTCTGAGCCAGCCTGACCAGCGTGATACGGTGGTGCGTTACCTGTAACTCCCGTCGAAGACCTCGTCCGAGGCGTTCTTGTTGACCTTCTCTCTTGGCTGGAAGATCGCTTCCGTCACCCTGCTACAAGACTCGGCGTATGTTGTCTGTTAGGGTGGTCGCAGGCACGGTAAGCGCGTTCAGGGCAGGAATTGTTCAGGTACTCGTCGACCAAGACCCAATACGCATTGATGACCCCGTGTCATTCGAGCTTGGTGAGCTCTACCATAGCTATGAACGGAAGACTAATCGCCGAGAGTTCGTTGTCCATTACAGTACAGTACCGTGCATGGTTCCTCGCGGGCCGCAATTTGTTGGTCTTGTTGCTGTAGGGTTAGGGTTAGGGTTAGGGTTAGGTCGCGTGTTGCTCCCTGTCCAAAACAAGCCAACCCCACCACCATATTTTTTCTGACCCCTTTCACACGGCTTACGTTTGGGTTCACAATAGGCCCAGGGATTTTCATCGTTGAACGTCTTCATTTGGCAAGCACAGAAAACAGGAGGTCGTACATACAAACACCGGCCATTCGCATTTATCTGCGTCTTATTGGAGGTACATGCATCGATACAGCAGTGGGTGAAAATCTACGGACGTTTCTGGTGGGCCGCTGAGAAATCGACGGGTAGGGTTGTTGGCCTCCAAGCGCTCGATACCATGTTTTGCAGGGTTCTCTTGGCCTCCCAGCCTTATTATTTAACGCCAACAATGAATAAAGTGTTATGGCGTCGCTTGCGCATCCCGCGATGGGACATGGCCGCGACGCGTGCGTCGTCGTTGTCTCGTGTCGCGAGCGCTTGAACGCACGGTAACACTGCAAGCACGATCATCAAGCTCAGGGTAAACTATCCACGTTGGTAGACTTGGTGGGGGTGGTGGTGACGGCAGCGACGGCGGAAGATGAGGTGGCAGCGGGAGGCTGTTGTTGGCGTCGCCTGTTGCGGCAGTGACTCAATCTCTCCGCCTACGAGCATGTTCGAAGGATCCCCGTGCAAGTAGAAGAAAATCAGACCCAAACCTGAGCCCACCGCCAAGCGGAGGTGCCAGATCAGTATTGAGCAAATGTGACGCCTGGCGGCTTCGAGACTCCCGGCGTGAATAACGCGAGGGCACGGGCAAGCGAGGTTGCCGGGAATAACCTGGCGGTTCGGCGGCGGGCGCAGGTTCGGTTCTGATTTTCTTCAGAGGCAATCCTAAGGACATGCTTATAGGCGGAGAGATTTAGTAACTGAAGGCCAAAGGTGGAGAGAAAAGAGTGGCTGGGCGCAAACAAAGAAGGGGGGTAGACTGAGTCTTCGCATCTCTCGACCCTCGCTTGTAAGTTCATGGTACAGAATAACACGTTGTGCTGTATTTTTCAGCTCACCCCAAAAGATTGTGGGTCTATACCAACTCTCCAGTTTGTGTCCGACGCCCCGTACGCGCCGGCGGGCTTCTTCCTGGCAGAAGGCGCCAGCTTGCCCCTTCGAATACTGATGGATGCCATGACGTAGGTTCTGTGGGTACGGTCCTTCCCGTATCTACGTGTTTCGACGTTCCTACTTTCAGTAGGACGGCTTCGATCGACGACAGGAGAGCTGCTGCACCTCTACAGCGCTACAATATTTATGCCGCCGAGCAGTCTCGAAATATAAACCTAATAGCTGAGCAAGGTGAGATCACCCCCCTCCAATTGTTTCCATTCTCACCAAAAAGAAGACGGACGGGCAAACAAACACAGCGAATCAGATAGGGGAGGCATCGCCGTCGAAGAGGAACAAACTTTCCGCCGTTACGGTTTGACACACGGAGCCTCCATGGAGGGGTGCCGCCGAATGCATGTCCGTCGGTGCCGAGAGCAGCAGCGGCAGCACCGCATCACGGCAGCACGGCAGCAGTGCACGTTGGTTGGCACCAATTCTGGGAGAAACGCAGCAGAGCCTATACCCGTGTTTGCTGCGAAGCTGCTCTCCACGCGTTGTTGCTCGTTGCCTGGATTTGGGTATCCACTTGATCGAGCCGTGTCATAGTTTCTTAGATCATGCCCACTGCAGCCGAGGAGGACCATGACCCGTTTGGAGTGCTTCGCAACGCCAACACTGTGCTGCTGCACAACCTCCGCAGGGACGAGCTCTCTCCTGAGCTCCAGAAACAGCTGACAGCGACTGGGATGGCGTCCACGTCGCAAGCTTACTTCTGCGATCCCTACACCAACTCGTACTTGGGACCGCAGGTGTGACAAAGGCAGCCGGCCTATCGGCTCGCTCAGCAGATAGCCACACTTTTTGAATGCGACGGGAGCCCCTTGGCGAAAGGCACAAATAGATAGGTGCCACAGGACCCCAGCAGTACCAGGCACCAGACTGGTACTAGAGACCCCGTAAAGCAGTAGTGATGTTGATTGCAACCGTTTTCTGGCGTTGCCCTCTCACTCAACTAAAATGTATGCACGCCTCATTATCTTTGCGGTAGAGTATTTTCTACATAGCTCCGGTGAGAATTGAGCACTTGGAACATGCGGGGTTCAGGGTTCACGAAGATAGTCGGCGGCGTCGGTGCTCTGTCAACCCAGATGAACATCGGATGTGCTCCGTAATGACTGCAGCATTTTGTGCGTTTACTTCGTCCTTGGGGTAAAGATTGCAGCTGAGCGTATTGGTGAAGAATTAATACTTGTACAACAACAGTTCAAGTCCCGTTCGTTACGCAAATTCCTACAGCCTTGTACTGCTGATCCGCCTTCGAGGAATGAGCTTGCGATCAGCCGGTGGAGTTTGAGCCATCAAACCACGGACGATATAGGACCCCCTATTTCAATGCTTTCACGCCAAAGTTCGGCGTTCCCGTACAAGACTTCACTATCAGCACGCATGAATATAAATGTCCCCGTCTACCCTTCGGCTTCTGGTTCGTCCTCTCGTCAAACGTAGCTTGGACCGGCGAAAACCCGGCGTGTTGCTCCGTCCCGGTATTGTAGGGATGCGAGGTTTGTGGTCTCTAACGACTACGGCATGCGTTTACCCCCCTCTACCCCCCGCGCCCCTAACCCACATACTTCTCAAATATGATTGGTCCTCTTCCGAGCCTGGAAAATCCAAACCCCGTGAAATTTCCGGAATCCACACCACTTTAGCCAACCGGAACCTAACCGTCCCATCGTCGTCCCTACTACTGTACCTCTGTTCCCGCGCACACCTTTTTTCCGGCGGCGTAGATACGGTCGAAGTCGTTCGCGATGCTGCCGGAGGCCCTGTCGCGAGAGCGAGACCGCGTCGAGTGCATGACCTTCATGGGTTTGTTGCCGGAGATCGACCATGCGTGGATGACGGTGGACAACGTACTCTACCTCTGGAACTACCACACCCAGGACTTCACGCAGTTCAGGGAGCTGGAGCAGGTGCCGATGCGTGTGTGTGCGTGCTGCCTCCCTCTATTGGTTTTTAGAATGTATACGAACCATCACAGAGAGGCTGCCCGTTGGAGATACATCCACCAAAGTAGTAGTCGAACGGGATATGTTGAAATCTATGCCCTGAGTGAGTGGGACACAAACCTGCTGAATACTACTGGGCTTGTTTTGAGTCTATTGAAGCCTTGACATTGAACCATTGTTGTTCTTGCATGTCGGTTTAAGCCTTTACATTGAATTATTGTTGCTCTAGCATGTCGTGAGTCTATTTTTAAGCCTTTCCACTGAATTGTTGTTCTTGCATGTCTTAACGTTACGCTGCGCGTCCCCGACGAGGGTACCTCCACATTGTGGGTTTTCTGTTGTTGGTTGATGTTGCGTGTTTGCGGTTCTGCCGTGTCACCTCTCATGGAGGCTAGAGTGCACGTGTCGCACCTATACAGGGGACGAAGGACCCCCCCGACCGAAAACCACACTCGAAAAACAAACCTGAAACCACCTGAAAACTTCAACCTTTCGTTCCAGCGATGTAGACACATCGTTACGCAAGTGCGGTGTAAATTAGAAGAGTGGGATTCATGCGGAACACGTTCCAAGTGCGAGAAGAAGTGATCCTTTGCAGCAGACACGCCGAGAAAAGTGGCGTGCTCTTTCTTTGCAGCGCAAGAAACATTCTCGAGCGGGTGTTGCCTTCCTTGGTCCATCTCTCTGCTGCCTGCGTTTGTTGAACCCCGCCCCCTCCGTCTTCTCGAGGACGCGCGGTCAATGGTCTAACCGCTAAGGCACGCAAAGCATAAGAGTACGCCCCCCGCCCCCCCCACGCAATGGCAAACCGGGGTCCCAGGTGATCGTGACGGTGGCGCTGGTCCCCCCCAAGAAGGGCGTATTCAACAAGGAGGTGGAGCACGTACTCGCGGTCGCGACCACGGTAGAGGTGATCCTGCTCGCGGTAACGTACCATGAGAAACTGCAGGAAACCGGGAGTCCCAGGAACCGACGGATACATGTGTGTGTGTGTGTGTGTGTGTGTGTGTGTGTGTGTGTGTGTGTGTGTGTGTGTGTGTGTGCGTGCGTGTGTGTGTTTCGTTGTTGGCATCGACGGCGGTATGACCGGCTGGCCAACGGAAATAGGTGGTACGTCAGTTGCACATGGGCATATGAATGCGAACACGATTTCTACTCTTCGCCC